GTAGTCCTTTAACACGACTGTATAATGTTCCATCTCATTTGCCAATTAAGACCGCCTATAGGCATCTGTACGAGTCACCAATCTGCACGATCCAAGCTGCACAACAAAAACAAATTTCTTTTGTAAGCTGATGACGGTGAGATGCTCATTAACCATATTTACTTTCGCAGCAGCTCCCAGGGTCAGAACTAAAAGACTGCTATTAAGAAGCAGCAGACACATGTTTCTATTAGCAGAAGAATCATTATTGTAGGTTTTATGGGCATTTTGTAAGTACAGTTGTGCTCTGACTGTCTGCCTGATTCCTTTAAAGAATTTCTATCATGATGTTCTGCAATTTTTTATTTATTTTTGCCATCTCTTTATAAAGGGACCTTGAATTGGCACGATTTTTCTATCTTCTCTTTCAATAATGCGCAGCAAACAGGCAAACTCCTGGCTGACTTAGTTCAGGTATCGCACAAACTTTAATTCCTTTTATGCTTTCTGATATAATACAACCCCTCTGAAACACAAAGCAGCAAAGCTAGATTTGCTGGTGAGGGGCGAGTGAAGGAGGGTACATTTTATCCTTGATTATCAGATTAACAGACGAGTGATCGCGTCTGCATCACAATTAGTGACCGTACCATACAGAAAGAAGTGCACCATTAGCGGAGGGAGACAGAGATCGAATGAATGAAGGTGTGACGGCATTGAGTCAGTGTGCATGTGAGGGAACAATACCAATTAAGTAATTACTTAGAGGCTGGATGAGCCGCAATTATGGCGTGCAAGTTTTCATCACCATTAGGTGTAGGTAAATAGAGTCCGTTGTCTCTCTGCGGTAATTGCAGAGAGCGCTCTAGCCTTTACCTATGCTTTGAAAATTTTTAGCTTTCCCCTTAAGCACAAAAGGCATGACAGTTATCTGCCATAAATTACACAGTGTCAGCCTGTATGTGTGTTTCAATCCGCTAAAATAAATGATAATATGGTGAGGATATTTGCTATTGTGATATATCATAATGATGTGAGAAACTGATAAATCAGAAACTGACTACTTAAGTTGCTGCTGCTAAAAGGCTGTTTGCAAGTTATTGAATCCTCGTGTGAATGAGTGTGAAAATGCTCTTTTTCACCTAACGTTATGTAAAACTGTATTATGTAATGCATGCATTATGTTGCTGTAGTAATTTGCACATGTCCACTGGTAATGAAGTAAAGACTAAATAGGCTTTTATGTTTGGCCCGGAACTGCAGCCAAGTTCTGATAATGATATCTATCTATCTATCTATCCATCTGTCTGTCTAAAGAAACAATTATTTAAAAGTGATTTTTAATGAATTTTTGGAAATAGATCAGATGTTTATTATGTTCAAAAGCTTTGGCTAAAACATGAATATGAGACTTGATGTTCATCCAGTTTGCTCAGAAATTTATACATTTAAATATAAATATTAAAAATTTTATTTTTAATACCCGATTTAACCAGTAAGCACCAAAAATGAAATATTTCATGTACCTTATCTCACTGTTGTTCACAAATGCCCGTGGCATTATTTGCTTATGTTCAGGTGACTGTATAATACTGAATAAAATTAAATATACACATTTCTGTGTGTGTGTGTGTATGTGTGTGTGTGTGTGTGTGCATGGCTTTTAATATTGGTAATGGCTAGAGCTGCTTTATAAAGCCCCCCCCCCTTATTAAAAACCAACAGTGCTTAAATATGCAAATCAAATCAAACTCTAAATGCTGACTGGAAAAAAAAAACAGAAAAACATTCAACTTTTCAGACACTTTGACACATGCACATACTTACAGGCTTATGGATTCAGCCCCATTGTTTTGATTCCCATTAATGTTCACTGAATCCACACATTTGCACTCAATTAAGGCTTCTGTTTACATCCCATTAGCTTTCAATCTCCACATTTTCCCCAGACGTAGAGCTCCGTATTGATTTAATTTCATTTCACTGTGGCGGCGGTTCAGGAGGGGATTTATAGAAACTTAAAATAAAAATAAAGCTGATCAAAGCAATACCAATAGACTTGAAGACAAACTCCAGAATAACCAACTGCTGGCGTAACGTTAGACAAGCTGATCTACTGCAGATTACTTGAATGTAGTTAGTATGACTTCTATTGATCTGCTTGCACAATCTGACTTGTCAGATCAATTGAAAAAGATGTAAAAAAAAAAAAAAAAAAAAAAAAGGGAGGAGTGGAGGCAGAAAAGGGAAAAAAGGGAGCTGCAAAATGGCAATATATGAGTTGAAAAAAAAGTCATCTTAGGAATGGAAACAGGCAATCAAGGTTCTGGACAGACTAGAAGGGCTTGAAGCCGCAAGAGTATCAAAACAAGGCAGATATAACACTGGTTCCTTGACAGGTGCAGCGATTTGTGTTTTGTGATTCTGACCAGTGCATGCCTTTCAGCTTGAGAGTCATTTCCATTTCCCTCCCCTTCAGTCGGACCGTCTCTCATGAGGGCACTGGGCGATAAGACGGAGCAGTCCATTACAGAGGCATAAGGTCTACCAGTTCTCAAGTATTAATTCAAAACTGAGAGAAAATGATAATGATTCTCAAGGAATGGCAGGGGAGCTGCTGCTGGTTCTATAAATAGAATGAAGCGGTGTAGTCCATGTGCCGATGCTTTCTTTACTGCACCATTTTTACCCTTTTTTCAAAAGGTATCTTTCTTTTTTTTTTCCAATTTAGAAAAAGAGCCACTCCTCCTCCTCACTTCTTCTTTTTCATTTCCTCTTTGCATGCTGCCTCTGCCTCTTCTGGATTTCAACTTTTCTTCACCACAAGGCAATAAAAAAAATGTTATTATCATCCTAAATCACTAGCAAAGGCAAAGACCATAGATAGTACACTATATGGCAAATGCCACAGGAAAAAAGTCAGAATATTCCCTTCAGTAAAGAATCTCTGACTCTGATTCTCATCTAAGACAATGGAAGATTGGCCGTTTTACCTCGGAGCAAGCAGATAATGGTCCCCCAGTGTGGCCTTTGGAGATATCAAGGCAAGAAGGTGGAAAGAAATTAAATCGCCCAAACACAGATCTTCTTCTAAAACAGACTTGGGTGGCGATGCTCTCTCACTTGTTCTTCTTAAATAAAGAAATGCACATTAGATTGAAATGCTAATGTGATTTTAAAATTGCATTCGGTCCATTGTATCACAGATGCAGACATTACAATCTGTGCACAGGACCAGCTGAAAATAGGAAAAGCAAATGTATATTCTTGGCAGGTTTTCAGACTAATCCCTGGCAAGTACACGGGCTCGGCAAGCACGACATAATTTATTACCAAACAGACCAACTGAGATAGTTGACAGAAAAATCACTGCGCTACACAAACATAACAGGTCTGAAATGTGTTCTCAAGCGTCAATTCCTTGAGGGTGTAGAGCGAGACAAACACTAAATTATATTATTCATTACAAACACAACTGTCAGGGTGTGCTCCCTAATTCGGAGCAGAAATTAGACGGATTTCACTGAAGCATGCGCCACATTTCTTCATCTTAAAAAGAAATTATTTTTTTGTTTGTTTTTAACATGGTTGCAGATGCGCCTCCACGCTGCAAAGGCGACGTGAAATTCTGCGGCAAGTTCAACATTTCAAAATGTTTCTGAGTGTGTTGCTGCACCTGCTGCTCTGAATTAAAAAAAGAGAAAAAAAGCAAGATCAAATGTGCATCGCCATGGGGGTGGGGGACAAGACAGAGAAAGAAGAGCAGAGAGTGGAAGGTGCTCATTGATTGCCAAAACAGAAAATGTAACCACGCCATCCATCAATGCCGCCTGCCTGTCATGTGTGGAGCTTATTTGAGAGGCAGGAAAAAGGAACACAAAAAAAAGCAAAAAATAGGAGCTATGCTCGCTACTTCTAGCTGTGGGGACCCCTTTCACTCTTCCGATGGAAAGCAAATACAGAAACAATTCATGGAAACCACAGACCATGTTGAGCTGACTGCCCCTGACAGGTTCTCAGTGATTCCTGCTCGGCGCACGGAGGCTCATTCACGTCCTGAAAAACTGCACAATAAGACAGATATGAGGTTTGGCTCTGTCAATCGGGTACAACACGCAAGTGCGAGCACGCCGTGCAAAAGCTTCCATCGCGTGTTTAATTTGGCAATAAGAAAGGCTTTTACATGCCTGTCGCGTGGGATGACTCTAATTTATGTATGAAGGGTTGGAAAGAGGCTGACCAATACCCGTGACAAGTTACTGTACCACATGCCAACATTTCATGACTTTAAGACTCATGTCGTGGCTCTTCTGGCTGTGATAGTAGCTCACAGAGAATAGAAGACTGAACAATAGGAATGCAAATGAGCAGGCACCTCATAGCAGTCTTACCTGTCTGATGCCTAGTCTGTAGGCAACAATACGGTCCACAGCATTTGGGTTCATCTGGGTCCACTGTAGCTTGAAGCCATAGACCCTCGGCCTGTTCTGCCACAGAGGGTTGTAGGTATCATAGTAGAACTCAGGGGGGTAGGCTTTCCCTAGAGAGAGAAATAATTAAAAATAATGACCATATTTATCACAAAACAGACCAAGTCATCAACATCAACCTTTGGGAATCAAGGGTGCGTTTAATCACGTGTAACTATCACAATAAATACATTTCCCTAACTTTGTTATCTTAAGTAAGCTGTACTTTGTTTTTATAAGGAATCAAGTTGGCATTTTTTTCAATTCTGGGAACTAATTCAATTTTTAAGTGCATAAAATTCTTATTTCTGTGACAACTGTAAGCTCCTCAGCTTGTAAACGGACAATTTTTCCAGTCCAGATTTAATAAACAGGTCAAATCAGTCTAAAAAAAACCACAAACAATGTGCTAATTTCTAATCAAACAGATGGTTCATTTCAGTAATGACCAGCATTCTACAAAGAGCAGCTCAAATTAGCAGGTCAGAAATGAGAAGACCTGACGAGGGCGTATGAGGAACTGAGCAATGTACTAACAAAACTAGTGCAGTGTAAGTGCAGCTTTTATGCATATGTTTCTGTCTGGAAACAGCAGGGCAATTGAAATCAACAAGAGGAAGCAGAGGAAGAATTAATATGTATTTGATGCTCATTTTTGCCCTACTAATTTGAGCTGCTGTTGGTAGATTGCGTCTGTAATTACTGCGATGAGCTGGCTGCTTTGCAGTCTATAAATCTATAAATGAATGCACTGCTAACAGATAACCTGCACAACTTTCCACCGTCATCAGAATACCTCTGTTTATTTTTCTTGTTTAGCAAATCTGGCCCTTGGACTTCCTTTAAGCCAAAAGTAATTGACGTAGGATAACAAAGGCAGTTATCTTATGTA